TGCTAGGAAGAAAAAGGGAGGCCTATCTCGCAACTTCTATGGGAGTCCGACGTGCTTGAAGGCCCAAGTCATGCTACCGCCCATTTATACTACTCGTCATCTATTTCTATTATGTTTTATTGTGTTATTTCCATCTAGAAGGATGAGGTGGCAAGGTTGTTACGACTCTCCGACAACTTTGTTGGGTATAATAAGAGAATGAGTAAGGTGAGAGAGGCATGTTTTTAATGTTTTTGGTGTAGTGAAAATTTTAAAGAGTGGGCACCTCTCGAATATGTCCGGTTTGCCATTGTAAACATTTCCTCTTGTTGATAATAAAAGAAACTTCATCCATTATTTGCTTAATTTTGTTTCGTTACATTAAGTTGCAACAAGTAAATCATCATCAAAGCATGGTGCTTCCAAGTCGGACCACCATGTTTTTATGATCTTGGCATTAGGGGTGTTCACTATTCAGCTTAAAATCGAAATACCAAACCTTATCGAATCAAATTAACAATTTTGATTCGATTTTAAAAAAAATTAATAAAAAATCGAACTAAACCAAAATTATTTCGGTTCTATTTGGTTATTTGTAAAATACATTCGGCTTCCATCGAAACCGAATGTTAAAGCAAAGTTAAATTTAATTAGTTACAAAAGTAACAAAACGTCAAAAGACTCAAAACCCTAACTCATGTCTCCCTAAGTCCTTCCCGAGTTCCCGGCTTCCCGCTTGTTGTTTCCATCAAACTTTAATCCTTCTCTTTCACAATCGATGCTTCACTGTTTCGGTGCTTCCAGCTCCAGCCATCCTTTCACAAAACTTAAAACTCCCCTTCTCGATTTTGGGCTTCTACGGACGATAATCAACGAGTGCCAATCACTAGAGACTCGTCCATCCTCCTCCTCCGGAATGATAGAGTCCAGTGCTCTTCGACTCCTCGGACCTCATTCGATTCTTACGGCCTTCTTTCTCCTCCTTCTCGCCTTCTCCTCCATCCACGATTCAAGCATTTCCCATTACCCAACCAATCAAAACTTAAAAGGTCAATTTTTTTGTGGTTAAATGTTGGACTTTTGGCATCTTGCGGACTTGCACAAACATTTTATTATTAAAATTAAAGCAATCACATGTTATCTATAAAAGGATATTGATTAATTTTATTTTTTTCCCGAATCATTTATAAATTTGTGTAATTAAAATGAAACCATTGGGTTGTTGATGTAGCAAACTAGCAATTCTCCAATCCCTTTCTTTGTTTGTGTTTCTTTTTTGCCTTTTTAATGCTTCGAGTCCCGCAACTTCTTTTATTGTTGGAGTTTCTATGATTCTGTCTCTTTTTCATTCGAAAACTAATATGAGTAGTTAGTAATTGACTTTATAGTATTTGCTTTTAGGTTTTCATAACTAAGACTTTTGATTTTTTTCATTTGGGATTAGACGAGTAAGGTGGCCATCGAGCACGAGCCAATAGGCCTACTCCTCGTGGTCGGCTACGGCCATCGGCTCCGTGGTCGCCGATTAATAATGGACACTATCTACTCGTTAAAAATTTAAACTTTTAATACTATAAACTTGTATTTAATAATCATTTCTAATCAAATATATTTTTGAATTTGTGTAGAAGTTAGGATCCTTAGATGCTAAAGTTGTGAGTTCAACTTATCCAAAACCGGGTCCAACAAGTAGATACAATTGTTGTTGGCTCTTCATCAAACACACAAGTGAGCACAAAGATGAAAAAAAGAGCAATGAGGCCAAGGTCGGTTGTATGGGACCATTTCACAAAGTTTGAAGATGAAAATAAAGACATCAAGGGGAGATGTAATTACTCGTGATAAAGTACTTGCTGCTCATCCTACTAGAAATGGTAATACCGCACTTAAATCTCATATGGCCATATGCAAAAAACACCCACATATGCTTCCTTACCCAATCGAATTGAACCTTCAATCTAATTCAAGTGTTCAAATGAGAGAAAGCACTCTTAGCACACGGAAGTTTGATCAAACTTGTATTAGAAATGCTTTAGCTTACATGATTATTATGGATGAACTTCCTTCCAAATTTGTCGAGAATATGGGGTTTAAGTGATTTATGTCAATTACACAACCTAGGTTTAAAATTCCATCACGGGTTACCATTTCAAGAGATTGCTATCAACTTTATATGTATGAGAAATTAAAGTTAAACCAATTTTTGAAAAATAATTATCAAAGAGTTTGTCTTACTACGGACACATGAATGTCTATTCAAAGAATTAATTATATGTGTCTAACAACTCATTTTATTGACAATGATTAGAAGTTGCATTAAAAGATTCTAAATTTTTATCCGGTCAATGTTCATAAGGGTATTGATTTGGGTAGTGCTATTGAAAAGTGTTTGATTGATTGAGGAATTAAAAAAGTTTTCATTATTACCGTAGACAATGCAAGTTCAAATGATGTGACGATTAGATATTTGAAAGATGTTTTGAATAATTGGGGTAATAGCATCTTAGATGGGGAATTACTTCATATGAGGTGTGTGGCTCATATTTTGAATCTTGTTATTTCGATGGGTTAAAAATACAAATCCTTCAATCCTTCGTGTTTGAGCAAGTTGTGAGGTATATTAAACAATCTCCCGCTAGGTTGAGAAAATTTAAAGAATGCATAGAGATTGAAAAGATTGATTCTAAAAGTTTATTACATCTAGATGTTTCAACTAGATGGAATTTAACTTATTTGATGTTAGATTCAGCTCAAAAGTTTGAGAGAGCATTTAAGAGATATGAGCAAATTGATCATTTATATAGTATTGAACTTAATGTGGATCTTGGTGATGGGGCATTTGGGCCACCTAGTGTCGGAGATTGGAGGACTTGTAGGAAAATGGTGACAATATTGAAAAATTTCTATGACCTTACTTTGTCTATTTCGGGTCATTCATATGTCACTTCTAATAATTATTTTGATGAAATTTATACGCTTAAAGCTGATTTGAGAGAATGACAAGAGTGTGCCAATGATGATACTTGTTCAATGGCTAGTAAAATGAGAGAAAATTTTGATAAGTATTGGGGGGATATGAAGAAAATGAATAAGTTGATTTATATTAGAGCCATGCTTGATTCAACACATAAACTTACTTATGTTGCATTTACATTAAACGAATTGCATGGTGATTGCCTTGGAGAAAAGATGACAAATGATGTGAAAGAATATACATATACCTTGTATGCTTCATATTGCAATTTATCACCAAATCAAGGTCTTAGTGGTCAAAGTAATGGGATTACGAAGTTTTAAGTATAAGTGATGGAATGGATACCAATCATGCCATGAAGAAAAAAAACAAGACACTTGCGAGGATGTCGCGATTTCAAAAATTCAATGAAAGTGAAGATGGAGATAAAAGATCAAATTTGGATAAGTATCTTCGTGAATCTGTCAAAATTGGAGATGAAAATTTTAATATTTTGGAGTGGTGGAAAAATAATTCTCTTCGGTTTCCTATCCTTTCAAAAATGGCTCGTGATGTGTTGGCGGTTCCAATATCTACCGTTTCTTCGGAATCAGCATTTAGCATTGGAGGAAGAGTTCTCGATGCCTTTATGAGTTCTTTAACTCCTAGCATTGTGCAAGCTCTTGTATGTGCTCAAGATTGGCTTCGAAATTCGATGCCAATTACTATTGAAGAAGATTTGCAAGATGTTGAGCAACTTGAAGCCTATAAGTTTTTCAATTCTTATATTTTTATTTGTCTTTTTTCCTTTCAAATTAATATTAAAGACTTCAAGTGTTGATTTTTTTTTAGATTTATTAAAACTATCAACGGATGCACCTATGATAGATATATGATGAATGGATGGTGGTTTGATCTTTTGAGTGACATGGGTAAATTTCTAATGAATTATCTTTGTGTGTGTCCATGTATGTTTGTAAATGCCTTTATATTTTATAGAATTGACATTTTTTTTTCTTTGCAGGATTTGTCATTTAGTAAACCTTTTGCTTGAAGCCTTGAACTTGTCTATTTATGGTTGTGAGTTGTGACTTATTGGAGTTTTTTGAATTTTTTACTTGGCAAGTTATTAGTAACTTAGTTTTATATTGTTGGCTTCTTATTGTTGCTTTCTTGTTGTTGGTTTGTTACTTTTACTTTTATAAATTACTTATGTTACTTGGTAATTTGGGATGTTGAATACTTGAATTATTGTTTTTAACTTTTTATTTTGTTGCATACTTGAAGTTGAATTGTTGTTTGACATTCTTGCTTTTTCATTATTGAAGTGTAGAGAATAGTTTAGCATTGTAGTCTATTTAAACTTTGGATGGGGTCTATGTGTTATTATGGCTTGTCATTAGAAAAAGTTGATCTTTGAATGAATGTTGAGATCATGAAATCGATGCAATTCTAATTAAGTTATTGATCGAATCAACATATGATATTGAGTATTAATTAAAGGTGAAAACCGAATTACCGAATAAAAAAATCGGTATATTTCAAAATCAAACCGAAAAACCGAATAATAATTCGGTTCGGTTTCAATTATTTTTTAGACAATTCGGTTAACCGAAAACCGATAAAAAAAGTTCGAAACCGAATCGAATTACCAAACAAACACCCCTACTTGGCATATTGCTAAATCAATTCTAACATAAATAACTTTTATGACATAGGTAAGTAACCCCATTACAAAAAGCTAAACATGTACGAAGTAGTGTAGAGCCAGAACCATAAGGGTGAAAATTGCTTTATTACAAGAGAATTATGAAAGAAGAAAAAGAAAAGGAGGAACTGGTTTGAAGTGCAACTTGAAGCAGGCTGAACGAATTCATAATGATAATAGTCCTTTATTGCTCACATCCCAGAAGGAATTTCACCATCATCATCGGCTCCGAATCACTTCCACCCAGCATCTTTGAATTACAAATCCATAACTAACCAGGAGGAAACATTCTTGTTAGTGATCTTCATGTTTCTCTGTCGATTAATTTCTCCTCGAGAGCTTCCAACAGATTATGAGAAATTATAGTGGAGAAGGTAGAAAAGAGGCCGGTGATTCCGCTGGAGTGAAGTCTCCACTAGTCGGTGGCTGCATTTTAATAATGACAGGTTCTCCATTTTCATTTATCATAACCATGTTACTTGGAACTTTCTCCGCAATGAATTCCATGTCTCTTTTCTTATGCCTGTTACCAAAGCACAACAAATTAAATCAGCAAATCTTCAAGGCCCTCGAGAGAAAGTATAACAGTGACTGTATCTCGTTATTCTTTTACCTATCAAAAACCACCCATGTTGCCTGAAGGCTTGTAAGTTTTTCAGCCACTACCAATTTCAAGGGATACCCCATTACAACTTGCTTTTGTGGCACATTAACCTGCATAAATCACAAGTTGACTAATTAGCAGGGAATATCAATAGAAATGGTAATGTTGTTACATCTGCGTAAGATTAATACATCATACCCCAAATGTTGTGCAGAGGTCAACCATTGCTTGAAGCTTTACATATTTAGAATCACTCTTCCATTCGTCACCTTGCTCTTTTGCCATTGCTAATTCTTCAAATCCCACAGACCAAATATCTTGCCACGTCTTCGAAGATACTAAAAAGCACAACTAAGACCCGGGTTATACACGTTATGAACTACTATATATTATCAATTATATACACAATTTGTAACAGCACAGGACATGCATACAAACATATAATTTTGTACAAGAAGATTAGATTTGATACTGACAAGGAATATTAAGCCATGGCATGGCTCCAAGGAGAGTAACACTAATGCCACCAGATGCTGAAATATTCTCAAGAGCCCACTTAAGCGGCTCTATGGTGAACTCCTTGAGTCCATCCATGACTAAGACCACCTGAGTGGTAGTGCTGACAGTATCTAGCAACCGCCTGCTTCTCAAAGGTTCTGGCATTCCTTGGTGACTACTTTCTCCCCTTGTGAATGAATCAGCCATGTCAATTAGCTAAACTTGGTGGCCGTGGCACCTAGCCTTTCGTTTGCTTTGCCAATATACCAAATGCTCCTTATGGAAAGAAGGAAAGGAAGGCTTAGTATGAATTCCTGTGATACTTTTTATAATTAGTTCCATTCTTGTATGTAACGGAAAAAACAAAATGAGGCCTTAGAATTTAGATAGAACCTAGGATCACCTTTGTAAGTTCTTGACATAAACAAAGGCATCCTATGCAAATTCCAGGACGCTTATCTTTAATTTTCCACATGGAACTAAAGGCTACAAGCTTGTAGTATGTCTGCTGGCATAACGTACAGAAATCACCATAGTAAGTCTAATGGGATCGTGACACAACAGTGAAACATCACTGCCATGATAATATCGATGACGAAAGAACCGAAAAAAAAAAGGGAAAGAAACTAAAAGCTTTTATCGGCAAATACTATTGAAGTCGGCTCACAGCTTGGTATGGATATGCAAGATAATTGAGAAATCACGTCTATGCACAAGTATAACCCAACTTATAGCGGTTTTAACTTGTGTTGTTCCCTTTTTAATTTTAAGTAAACCTTACATTCATGCAAAAAGGCAAATAATCGTTTCATTTTGGCATTTGTATGTGTCTTAAGTATAAATATGGTCTCAAGTAAAAGTACGGACTGTTCAGTCTAATAAGCCTACTCAGAATCTAAAAACAGTAAAAGACAACTGAAAAGGTACGAAGTGCTATATCACTTGTTTCCAACACAAATTCTACGCCACTTTGATGTGTGCTACAAAAGCTCAAAGTGCAATTAACAAAGGTCACCTCTGAATTCGAATAAAAAGGTTGGAAAAGGTTACTTCATTTCACTTGAACTTTACATTTCCCACACAAAAGTATAGCCAAAACTAAGAGACCATAGTATTTGCTTTCCCAAGGGAAACACAGTAGCCACGATGGAGTTCAGAAAGGTAATATGCACTATGAAGTATTAACTTAGCATTTGAAGTATATTAATTCTATGTTGGCCAGAGACCAAGCTAGCAAAATAAAACAAAACCTCAACTATTCATCGCATAACTGCCATGCGCATGGTTTTACGGCGAGAACCAGGAGGGCTGGCCCTTTTACATGGAGATGATCTTGGTCTTATCTTGTCATTCCTAGGAAGCATGGCAGCCATAAGTTTCATGCCCCTTGCAGTTGGCATTCTCTTGATGCATCTAAGAGCTTCTGTTGTCTGTGAATCCTTTTTTACCCTTTTTGATGATCTTTTACCATTTACCTGGTTCTCCACATTCAGATGATCTAATGGAACGTGATGTCTGGCTTCTGAAAAGTTCCATTCATCTCATTTCAGTTATATTGACTTATGAAAGAACTATACAAATACTTTGATGGAATAGACTCCTTTACCTGGCAGTTCTCCATGATATATATCTGTATTGGGCGATCTGGGTGGAGGTGGGGGAGGAAGATCACCATTTCTTCCAATTTTCTCAGCACCCTGCTTGCAGTTATCTTCTTCAACAGAAGGTGGAAAACATAACATCTCATCACGCAAAACTCCATCTTGGCAATCGCTTACTCCAACTGGCACAGAAACATCAACCATGGGGGTCCCGCCAATAGACAACATGCAAGGTAAGTTTGGTCCATCGGCATGGGGAATCTGAGCAGAAACTCCCTCAGTTTCAAATCTAGATTCACTGTTTTCAAGCTTTCTATCACAGGAGATGTCAGTTGAAGTTGCCTCAATTGCATCCTTAATTACATTGGTCTCAGAATCTTTTATATTCACTACACTAGTGTATTCACTGTTAACATTATCTAGAACTGACTTGGGTGATGTATTTGAATTGCTCGGACCTGAGAAAAGCTCTTGTGATTTGATCAAACTTGAACACCAGGGTGTACCCTCCCTGGCATAGAACAGAATGTAGGCAGCTTGAGATAGCACAAACTCTTCTTCTTCCTTGCTTACCTGAAAATTATGAAAGTCAATTTAGATTTGTGAAATAAAATCATTTCAGAACTAATTGTTAATACAACCAACTCACTCTACCATCAAAAGGTGCTACTGACAGTATTACAGAAAGTAAATATCTCAACTCTTCCATCAAATACACACATGAACACACCCATGCCCAACACACAAATGATGCTTAAAAATTTGTTCATGATCATCATTGATCCAGGAGATACAAAACCTGAGGACTTCATTGGTTTGGCACTTTCCAAACAATTGACATTAGAAGGGTAAATTGTTGAAATCTAGAACAAGATGGCTTTTGGAAAACCATAATTAGAAAGTCTAGGATAAACATTGGAAGTGACACAATTCCACTTCAGACAAAACCATGTTCAGGAAAAAGTAAACAACCTCACTTAACCAATAGAAGTTAGAAATAACCCCATGATAACGCAAAATATAACCCAATGATGACACAATCTCATTCATCATTAATAGGTTTAAAAATAAGCAGAGGCATGCTCTATAAGGAGATTGGAAACAAAACAACAACAATCAACAGCAAAGAGATTGAACCTAGCATTTATTACCTCTGGGTCATCCAACTTATGCCATGTGTCTGGAGAGGATCTTATATAGCAAAAGTAATGTCCAGAAGTTAGTGAATATCCTTTATGCACCACAACTGCATATAGTTGATACCTGAAGCCCACCTGCTGTCAAGAAAATGGAAGAGTTTTATTAGATGCTCACAAAACACAACCAATACAACAAAACAAACAAATTATACTTTTGATGTGACATAGTCAGAGTCTTCAATCATTTATTTCTCATATTAACATCATATTCGACCTTCAAGGACAAAAGGATCAATTAAATGACAATACTCCTAGTTTGATTTTTATTTGGAATTCTCTTACCATGCCTATTTCCATGTTCTTAATCTTGATTGACATTGAAAGATTTGTTAAGATATCTTATCGCATTTTAAATTGGTAATGATATTTGTTCAGTGATACTAGCAATCCATGACTCACATCACAGTCATCGTTGTCATTGGAGTAGGGCTTCAAGTCCAACTCCAATGGAAACTCCACATGCTTGCCTATCTTCTCAAAAGAGGTCCCATCAGTTTTGAATCTCTTCAAATGCAGAGCAGCAACTGAAGGAGCATGGTCCAGCATAAGCTGCTTTTCCCTAGAAACTTCTTCCTTGCAGATTTCACACCTAAACTTTGTGTCCGAATCTTCAATTTTCTCCACCTTGGTGAATGACCCCAGGGCACTTTGAAGAGTGTCTGCATCTTCAATCTCCAAACTCAGGTTGATCAGGGGCTCAAATTTATCAGAACAGTGACCACAATTGCAGCATCGCAACTAAAATTCAATGCAAAAGCAAGAATTAATAATTAAAAAAAATAGACATTGGTTCTAAACTTTGGAAGTAGAAAAATGAATACTTCAAACTTTTTTTTTTTTTCACATCAGCAGTAAGCAAATTAAAGAGAATTAAATGGAAAAAGTCAATCCTCAAACTCATACTTTGCTCACAAGACGGCCTCCAAATACCCGCTCAACTATGTTCTTATCTGGGGAGGTTGAGCTATCATCATTTAGGCTTGAATCCAAACAACACCTCTCAAGTCTTTCTAAAAAGCATTGGAGGAATTCATGGGCATCTTCCTGCTGATATCGATGAAAAAATGATGAGATGTCTAATTTCAAGAGTTAAGAATCACATTAAGTCCAGAGTTTTCAGAAAATTTTCCTTAAAATATCAAAGAGTTACCACAGAAGAAATCCAAAGTTGATAGTATCCAAAAGACCAAGAATATTAAGATATAAAGAGAAAAATCACTGTGGTATATAAAAAGTCAACTTGGGGTACTTGAAAGCCGAAACTGAGAATTCAGCTGCACAGAAATGACAATTAAACTAAACAATGATGCACAAAAAATGTACTGGCTAAAGTACTTCATAATACATTTAAGATAATAAATCCATTGCCACATTTCGCACGATAATAAACAACAGTGCAAAAGGATACTGTTCAAATTGTTGACAAGTTTCAAAGGCTCAAGAATCTTTCCAGACGAAGATAAAGAAAGTTCAATGTGATCACGGAGAACACAAAGAACACAGAATCCTTCCGTACTACCTGAAAAATCCCAATGTCCAGCAGTAAATACCAAAACTGAAATTCAATTACATACAGCAAACAATTCAGATCCTAAGTAGCTATCCACAGTTGTTACTCACAGGGCATTGCATGATTGCAAGAACGAAGAGCCTGAACAAGTGGCACGGTATGCGTGAAGCATTGCAGGATTGCATTAACATAGCATGTGTTTCCTTTATTAAAAAGCCCAGCACCCTGCAAAACCAACACAAAAAACAGAACAAAACAAAAAATTAATATCACGAAGTATAAACATCGACAAACACAGACACATCAAATAAACTCAAAATAATATCCTTTGAGAGACATACCACACCAGTAGGTCTGGTTTCCTGCATACTATTCTCTCTGTCATCCCAACTATCACACCATTGAGGACCCGGCTGTCGCTGAAACCTCCTCATCCATGGAGGAGGCAAACCCGGATGATGGTCATCGAATTCAGGATCAGAATGGCCCCAGTAATGATTGGGGTTGTGATGAAAAGATAGCCTCGGATCTTCCTTTTCACCATCATCGCCAAAACCCTCTTCCTCATCCTCAACATATCCATCAGCAAGCTTCCGGTCAGAGGAGCTCGAAGCTAGTTTTTCAGGTTCTACTCGCATGGGTGAATGAGGCTCACTGTTATGATTATTAGCACCATCAGCAAGAACACCATTATCACCATCACAATAAGCGACCGAACTCCGGTCAGAATCTAACAAAAACCCATCTTCACTGCCATTAGCTATTAAAGACCCAGACCCATCTTGATTTGACTGTGAACGAACCGAAAGCTGGTGACCTGGGTTTACAATATGAGAAGGCGGCAAAGTCCCGGGTAGGGTTTCTTCAGATTGTGGCATTGAAGTCGAAATTTGTGAAAACCCATTTGAATTTGAAGATAGAGAAACCAAATACTGGTCTCCACGGCTTAAGTCGGGTGGGGTTTTGAAAGAATTAGGTGAAATTATTGAATCCCCATGTGGGTCTTCCATAAGACCATCGTTTAAGGCTTCAATCTGTAACTGTGAAGAAAACCCATCAGCAACAATAAGGGATTTGGCCTCTAGGGTTTCAGTTTTAGAAGGCAGTGAAAACACATCAACGGCTGCTTGAGTTGAAACCTCCATTAAAGAAAGAGAGAGCGAATGGATTTTGTTTGTTTGAATAATGAAGAAACAGATAAATTTTTTAGGAATGGAGGTTGAAAAGATTTGGGGGATTTTGTTAGGGTTTTGAAAAAGAAGGAGGAGGGAAAAGGAAAAGTCAAGGAGGGGATGTTGGAGGGAAAATGGAAGCGCCTACTTTTTGATTTTGTTCTTTTTTAAGGGGGGAACGGACCAAAAGGAAGTAAAAATTGAAGACGACCCCTTCGGTCTGATTGCTATGGTGACTCGAGATTTCTTACTGTTTTTTTCTCTCGCCTTAAGAAACTGTAGGGGAAGGAAGTTGCTTTTATCGTAAAAAAAATTATTATGGAAGAAAAATTAATTTTTTGGAAAAGAGATCTTCGATTTGTATTTGTACTCTCCTTTCTTATTTTTCAATTAGCAGTTGAAAAAAAAACAAAATAGTATTTTTGGAAATATCTAGGAGTTCCGTTGGAAAGTTAATGTTAAGATGAAATCTGATTCAACTCGTGTTCCTAATAATCCATTGTGACTCATTGGACCTAGAGAATCAAACAAGATAGTATTTCTTTTCTAACCAATGAATATAATCTTTAATCAAAGAATCCAAATCAATAGTTTAATCAAAAAAAAAAACTATGGATTTGGATTATATAACCTAGATTAGATGTAACTAGGATTTTGTGAGAGATTTGTTATTATTAAGCTGAGATAAATAATATTAATATTTGCTTAGAAACCAAATTAATTGCATAAGTATTATTCTCAAAAACAAAATAATAAAACTTTAATGTCAAAAGAATTCTCCTATAATATAAATTGGTCATTGTAGGTATTCTCTGTTTATTCCTCATATTTACTTAATATTAGGTTTTTTTTATTTTACCAACCTCTTTTTTGAATTACAAATGTGAGATTATCGTCTAGTCTACACTTGGTTATATATATGCGCTACGCCGTGGTCAAACAACTATTCTATACGTAAGGTTAACGATTTGTATGGTGTAGTGTGAATAGAAGTTTTATTTTTGATGATTAATGTAAATCGAATCTATATATTGAGTGAAATTATTATATTTATATTTATTAACAAAATATTTAATAATATTAGCATAAAAATTCGAATTTGAATAATTAGGAGGTTCTTTCAAAACATTATCAAACTTATTTTATTTTAAAAAAATTAGAATATAAAAAAATAAATAAAAAATAATTGATTTTATGTGCACAAATATATAGTTAATTTATAACAAAACTAATGATATATATATACACAAAACATATTCAAAGTATATAGAATAAATAAAAAAATATACAAAAAACTCATCTAAATTGTATGAAATATATTGAAGTCAATAAATTAAAATAAAACTACAACAAAATTGATTCGATAAATTTTGAATAAATATATACGAAAAAGCAACTAAAACTTGTAAATTTTTTTAATTGATTATTATTTAAAAAAATTGAGTCAAACTATCTAAAACATATTTTTAGCTCTCTCTCTCTCTCTCTCTCTCTCTCTCTCTATGTGTGTGTGTGTGTATATATATATATATATATATATATATATATTTGGAATAAGATATAAAGTACAAAAATCAAGGAAACCATCTCTTAAATCAACTCACATCAAGTTGTTCAAAAGTTTATGATAGTATAGTAATTGAAATATATATTATTTCATTTCAATTAAGCCATTTTTATTAATAAAATTACAAAATGGAGTGATGCAATAGAGCAGTAATTAAAATTTTAATTTCAAAATATAGTTTTTTTAAATTCAATTTCAATCAATAAAAAAAAGAAATTAAACATTTATACCAAGTTGGAAAAAGAACTCTATAAAATTTTGGTTAAATGTTTTTAATGAGTATGAGATCATTACTATTCATATTTAAACATAATACAAATAATAAATACAATTATAATGATTACGGCAAGACAAAAATAAAATTACCATAACTTAGTTAAATCATTAAACAATCGAACAATCAAAATGACATTACCTCCACAACGCGGAGGCATACTGCTAATCATATACTTGTAACAACTTGTCATTTTTGTTACCATTAAAAGGAGGTTAATGGCAGACTTAGAAATGGCCGTATTTCAAGGCCAAGCAATCGGACAATTTCTCCATCCAGCTGCCTCATTAAAAGCCAAGCTCATGCTTCGCCAGGACAGGCCCGCTTCCCAAGCTTGGCTACTGTTCAACCCAGATAAAAAAATAATAATAATAACTAGGATACAGTAAATGAACAGTAACACTGTTCAAACATCTCAGTTTTTTTAATTTTCTTTATGATAATTAAAATTACTAGTATTAAGCATTGATGTCAAAATCCTCTGTTATAATTTTTTTTAAAAAAAAAAACTTCAAATCTATCATATGTCTTCTTCATGTGGTTATATTATAGATCATATATGTATTAATTTATGCAAGTTTTCTTGAAAAAAAACATTTAATATGTAAAAAAACGATAGGATTTTAACCGATGACATGGTTGTTCTTCTTTCCTAAATGCTTAACCCTATATTATTTTGAGAGTTCTATATGTTTTTTAAGGCTTTAAACAAAAGCAAAAGCCAAAAACAAAAAAAAAACATCAATTAAGTGGTCAATGAAAGAATTTTGCTTATATAAGATATATTGGTAAAGACTTATTAAAAGGGAGAGAGAGATACGTATAACATTAGGTTTTCTTTTTCCCTTTTTTTTTTTTTTACCGATATATATTAACAGAAAACGAATGTTTCACTTGACTGCGCTACATCCAATTTTACTGTTAGTATCACTCAATTCTACTGTTTATTGTCATTTCACACTTTGGTCCCTTTTTTCAAAACAATTTCAGTCCCAAACTTCATTTCTATTTCAATATGGTCCCTAAATTATATATATATATATATATAGACACACACGTGCATTCACAATTTAGCTGTAACGTAATTAGCTTGTTTTATTTTGCAGTGCAATATTCAAACCATAGCAATGCAAAAAGAGAGCCGACAATCTAAAACCTCAAAATAAAAATTCCCCTTGTTTTTTGGAGAATAGATCTATTCTTTAATTTTTAATATATAATAATAATAATAATAATAGTAGTAGTATATTGAAAAAAAATTAAAAAAATACTAATTTCCAAGGATTAAAAAGTTAATCTAAATTCCTAAGTTTGCTTTATAATTAGAGTACAACTTATAGTTGTGAATGTATGATAATGAAAAAAGTAATAATTTTTTATTATTAATTAAAAATATGTAAAATTAGTATGTTATTTTTCCCCTAGTATTATGTATAGTATTTTTCCACCAACAATAGATAGTTTATATATTCATCTTGAAGTACTGTATATAAATCATTTAACAAATAATAAGCGTATAACTCAACACTATGTAAATGATTTTTAAAATTAAAATAAATATTAAATTTTTTATATAAAAAAATAAATGAAATCTTAAATTTCTTTCATTAAGATATATATATATTACCGATTAATATATATAACTGATCAATACGGATGACATGTGATGTTAATAAAATAATTCTATATTTTTAAATCACATCTAATTTTACTATTTTAAATGTAATTTGAAAAAAAATAAGATTACCGAGAATGTGAGATTTCTTGTAGGGGTGAGTAAATGGTTCGATTAACCGAAAATCGAATCAAACCGAATCGAATTATGAAATTTGGTTTGGGTATAAATTAAAAAATGTATAATTTATAACCGAACCGAAAAAACCGAAATAATTTCGGTTCGGTTTGGTTTTTTTTTTTAAGAAACGGTTTGAACCAAAAATCATTTTTTTAATTATTCCTAATTCTAATTTCTACATACCTAAGAATAAGATCTAACCCTAACTCGGTAACTCCCTCTCGCCTCTCTCTCTGTCTCCCTTAGCCGCCTCTTTCGACTTTCCTTTCCTTTCGACGCGGACGAAGTCATACGACGACCGGCGCCCGGCATTCCGACGAAGCCGACAACGAGCAAACTCGGTCACTCTCATCTTTTTCTCGTCTCTCGCACTCTCAACTCAAGTCTCGGACTCTCGACCTCTCACCGACTCACGATCTCACGAGTCACGACTCTCACTCTCGGCCTTTCACGGATTTCGCCCTCTCAAAGTCTCGGTCTTCTTCTCCTATTCTTCACTCTCCACTCCAAGTAACGGTGATTCTAGTCCTCTTCTAGAGTTTCGGGCTTCCGATCCTCCGGGCTCCAATCCTCTTCCGAGTCTTTATTCGTCGAAGCTTCGTGTCTTTCAAAGTTAGTCTCTTTTATTTCTTTTTTTATTTTTATTTTACTGATAAGTGATAACAACAAAGTATTAGGCATAGATTAAATTGTTTTTTAGATTCCTTAGTAAGTCGTGATAACCGATATGCTTTGTTCTACACTATGGTGTTGTCTTGGAAACCTAGTCTTGAAATGTGTATTGTGTCTTGTTGGCATATATTTTCCTTTTTGGTTGTTGGAGTCTCGTGATTCTATATTTTATTTGTGTTGTTCGGTTATCAAGTCGTGTTTTGGTTTCAATTGGGGTGAAGATTTGTTCATGTCCGACTCCTATTGTCTCGTTTTCTTCTTTCAGTTCTTTGTTTGTTTCGGCATTTTTTTGTTTTTTGTCCGAACCGATCCTTGCATTAGAGCATATGTATGATCAATATTCAATATAATTGAACTGATTTGCTTTTTGTATGATTTGCACATATATAATCATTATAATTGAACCGATCCTTGCATTACGACGATTCGTCATGCATGCTTTTCATAGCAGCATTTTGCATTTTTCTCGAAGAAATAGTGATATTCTCACTCGTTAAATGTTAATAAAAGCGAGATGTTTACAATAATGAAATCGAATCTAAAAGCAACGGACCAACGAGTTTGTGATTTCTTTTGATTTCTCTATTTATTACTTTATTTTCTCGTTCTTCTTGGTTCTTTATTTGCATATCTAATTCTAAAATTAATAGTTGTTAAAATGTTTA